AATGAATCACATGAGTCAAAGGTTAATTCATGTGTATGTTAATATAATTATATAAGCTTAATAAAGAGAAATGTTCTTCAATTTCTTTAGATATCTCTAAAGAAATTTTTTAAAAATCTCTAAACGTTGCTAAAAATCTTACATTTATCCTGTATATTGGTATATAAGCTTACTATTTTAGCTTAGTAAAAAGAAACTTTCTACAATTTTTTAAAATATCTTTAAAAGTGAAAAACACGAAAATTTTTTTTTGCTACTTAATCGAAACTTAATAAATAAGAAACATTTTGTCGTTACTCAATTATTTTCAATTGAAAGCTAGTATGTTTCGACTAATTAAGATATTTGATAATCTCGAAATATGATTTCAAAATTTTCCTTTATAATATTTTTTTTCTGAAATTTATAATCTAAATTCTAAAACTATATCTATTAAATCGCATTTTGATTCAAATAATTGGCGTTATTATATTTTTATGCTATTTTTTGAGAATCGTCATTAGCTTCTGTGAAAGTATTCAATTTGTCATAAATTTGAATGACATGTCATATTATTGCCAATTTACAAATATTTATATTAAGCGATAAATAAAGATAATAGACAAGAAATACAATGTAATATTATTATTTGTTGATATATTTCTCAGTATTCATTTCTTCATTTCTTTTTATGTTGTAAAGATATATAGATAATTCGTTTTTTAATCAAGCGAGTTAAAATTTATACATAAAAAAAAATGCGTTTTATAAATTAGAACAGAATATTGCGAAAATAAAGTATTTTTTAAATATTGTGTGCCGCGCAAAAAAAAGTCATTAAATTAATAAATAACATTTATTAATTGATACAATTTAATTTCTTATACTTCTTTATATAAAACTTTATATAAAACTTGCAACATACAGGATAAATGCGCAATTTCAATTAATTTGTTTCATTAAGACTAAAAGAATTTCTTTGTTCCATAACAATGTTTTTCCCAATGTAATTTACGTTGTAGTATAAAGATAAAAATAATTAATTCTATATATCTTTATATCTTCATAAAAATAATAGGTATATATAATAATCTTTATTTGTTCTCGATTCTCAGAAACATGATAACAATATCTTAATGATAAAAACTATATTCATTGTATCAATTCTCAATTTTTTTAAAATTACAACACTGTATTATTATTACAATAGCTTTTAAACATTTTTGGATAATTATTTATCAATTTATTTCCGTTCATAAAACTACAAATAAAAAAACGAACAAATAAAAAAAAGTTTGACAATATAAGAATTAAATACACCAATTTTTGTAAAATTTATAAAATAAACTCATAAAGTTAATACATAAATAATCATTATTAATAATAAACTCATAAAGTTAATATGTAAAAAATCATAATTCACATATAAAATCATATTATGCAAGAAAGTCTGCACAATACGAATTTGTAAATAATATCAATCATAATATTGTGTTTGAATTTGTCGACTATTAAATGTAATGTACTAGTATATTTTGCTTTACTGGATAAATCACAGAAGTAAATTAAATTATATGAAGTATACTTTTATGTACGAAAAAAATGTAAAAGTGTTTTGCCATTGTAAAAACAAAGATAGCTTGAGATTAACTTACAACCTACTTTTTGCTTAATCTGCTTAATCTGTTTGAAAAAAAAAGGAATCTCTCCGCGGAAGCCCCTATTCAAATAACAAATTAAAAAGGACTATGTACATACGTGCCTTATTCGATACGCCCTATATTCATTTGCGAGTATCGATACCAAAAAAGACTCAAAATCGCAATACTTTGAAATGCAATCTATCGGAATATAGTAGCTCTCGCTGTCGAGTATTCCGATCTATCTATTTCTCTGCAAAGTATCGAGAGAAAAGATATCGAGATGTTCCTCGCGGTTTCGGAGTATCAGTAGCGATTCTGAGCGATTCCTACCAGAGACTTCTGGGCCGTGGGTATTCGCGAATGGCTGACCCGACTGTCGTTGTCGTCGTCGTCGTTTCTGTCAGGCGCGCCGCTCGCTACGGGAGAATCATGTAAATGTCCGTCACGACGCGGGGAAAAACGCGTGCGGATTGTATCAGCGAAGCGAGGCGCGGCGACGCGCGCCGGAGAGACGTGAGACGCAGTAAAGAGTTGCAGGCAACCGACGGTGTCGAGTCGAAGGCCACGAAGATCCACTACGCCGGGAACGAAGGGGAGGAGGATTCACGCCGCAGAAAGCGATCGTCTTGGTCTCTTGCGTCGCGGATTGCTTGAGAACGGATCCTAGGAGTTGCCGTTTCCTCTCATGATAAGCTCGGCGACTAGGGCGGATACGTCTGATCTGTCATCATCTGAAATAATACATCAGTAATAAAATCACGAGAGAGAGAGAGAGAGAGAGAGAGAGAGAGAGGGGAGGGAGGCAGAGAGAGAGAGAGAGAGAGAGAGAGAGAGAGAGAGAGAGAGAGAGAGAGATAGAAAGAAAGAGATCACGGACGGATGCGTTGCTTACCGCACGGTAATGCCGTCGACGCGAACCTGGCACGCGCTCCGTTGGCTTCCTTTGGATTTGATTACAAACGAACGGACTGTTTCGTTTTAATGGGCCGCGTCGACAGAGCACGAGGGTGACGCGGCTGAAAATCTAGACTGGGGCAGCAGGAGATTTCTCCCTTGGTATCAGCCGTGTCGCCTAGGGGACGTTTCCAGGGATACCGGGTTAGAGATAACACTAGGCTACGCTGGGAACGCACAATCACTTGTGTTCTTAAGAGGAAGTTGTAGGCTTGTATGTGTTCACTGTTATTGTTCTAGAATGATGTTTGTAAATACTGCATGAGATCTTTTCAAGGATGTAAAATTGTCCTTTATATATAGAATTTGAGATAAATATGCACTTTGTATAGATAATTTGGGATAAATAAGTTTCTAATTGAAACTTATATTTCAAATACAATGACATTATATTTTTTTTATTTTATATTTTTTTTATTGAAGATATGTACAAAATATGTGAACTTTAAAAAAAAACATTAGGAATATAATATACATATGAGATTTTAAAGAAGCTGCTGCTTTTAAAGATTGTTGCTAATTGTAAAATTCAACATTGTTCATTGAATATCAATATTGCAGACCTAGTTATGGAGGATAGTATGAGTGTAAAGTCCATGGAATCAGTGGCGACAAGCGATGAATATGAATTTGTGAATGAAAAAGGTACTAGCAAACAGCAGCAAGTCCTTTTAGAACCACCTATGTTAAAAATTGCCAATAACGGTAATCTGGAAGATCTGCAAAATAATCTCCGTGAGGTCTGTACATTTATTAGCCTTATTGTGCCATCCTTAATTTAGATAAGCATTACTCTATATCCATGATAAATGAATGTTATAGATCAGGCCTATTCGAAATATAATTCTTGATCTAAATACTCCTACCTCTCTATTGTTTCGTTGAGCGAGACAGAAAGAAAACAGAAAGGGAGAACAGTCAACTTCTTAATCCTATGTGTCACTGAGTAGACCTCTACTTACTTTTTTTGTTTTTTTTCTCTATCTCGCTCAACAATGCTGAGAGAGAAGCATTTAACCTGTAAAAGCTAAGTACTTTTGGATAGACCTGTCATAGATAACGTATCTATATCCACTTTGTGTGACAACTGCAGATTTTGACAGAGGACTCGAAAATGGAAGGAAGTGAGTTCAAAGTGACGAGTGTCAGCCAACAAAATCAGGAGAAGACGAAGAAAGTAGGCCACAGTAAATTCTATGATGTTAGTTGTGTTGTTTCATCAGAGAAGCAAGATATTATGAAGCCAGAAGATTATATTGAGGAAGGTAAGTTACTGACATAATTGTAAACAAGAATGAACAATACAAAATGTGACAGGCTTAAGATTTAAAAGTATGTTTGTATGGTCCAGAATTAAACACATCGTCGCATGTTCAACAAGAGTGCACTATTTTCAATGGTGTTACATATCTGGGAGCAGCTGCTATAAATGCACCAAAATCAGAATGTGAAATCCAACGTAATATGAGTATATTAAATGCAGAGCAATCCTTGACTTTAGGAATAAGAGTTTCTGTCTCGGTACCGAACAGTTCTCAAGGTTCAGTTATGTGA